GAGTGACCACTTCGGCCAGGCGAAGTGCAATAAAACGGCACTGAAAGGGGCTGAAGTGAGTCAGAAGAAAGTTACGGTGCCGAGAAAGTCCAAGTGGAGGCGAGTTTTGAAGTGTGAAAAAAAAATAAAAAAAAATGTGCTTTGTTAAAGTTTTCTTGTAAGAAAATATAAAACGGTTCGCACAAGTGCAACTAGCGGTTTTTAAGGTTCCGTGATGTTTGGATACCGTCAATTAAACGGGTTATCATTGGATTGTTAGGCTAAAAGTATTTGGAATTTGAGGTAAGTTTTGATGATAGCCACATGGAAATTATTTTAAATATAGGGGACTTAGTGTGAATTTGCATATGCATGTACATACACATGTGCATATAAGTTCTAATGTATGTACGCACAGAACTGTGTATACAAAAGTATATACATATGTACATGTGTATGCATAACAAGGCCAGTGCAGATGGAGATTAATGCTAAGAAAAGTCCCTAAGAAAAATTATGCAATGACAAATGTACTTAAGACTTCTTTAATACCTTCCAGGTCGCCAGTACGGACGTACAAAAGGACCTCAGTAGAAAAAGTATTCAAATACAAGCCACGACAACCTGCTGTAAGTGCCCCCGACAGATAGCACATCCACGAGCACTACTTGCCACAGCGCGAGCAAGAGGCACCGATAGCTACGACGATAACGTCGAAGAATTTCACTGCAATTCCCAAAAATCAACGCGATTTTCTAGCAACTTTAAACTTGCACTTTGTTATACTAAATTTGAATAGGCTATAAAACTGCATACTTTGAATTTTTTTTTTAAATCTGAATAAAAAGTTGCAAATTAGTGTGCAAATTTAAAGAATTTTCCTGAGTTTTGCACAAAGTTTAGAGATTTTATTATTACGTTTTCTGGTGTAAAATGAACTATATTTTTATAAAAAATTATCGAAAATAAATTAGAATAAAAAACTTAGCATATTTGGCGAAAAATTCACTGTGCCAATACTTTTGTTCGTCACTGTATATATCTATGTATGTATGTACATTAGACTGCATCACCAAAAAAAGTTGCGTTTTT